GTCCCTTATTTCTATTATACATGTTAAATCCATGTTCTCTTCACAGTGTCCTTCAAACAGGAATCAGCAGAAGGTTTTCTCACCTGCAATAGATTAGCAGCAGTTGCTTTAAATAACTAATTGAAGCGGGCAGTGATCGACTGATTGTGTGCGAGAACAGTCAGTGGGCAGAAGAATCTCAGCTGATGATTTCAGGCTAAAGAGCCCGCATGATGTGAAGTTATATGAACGTATATGTATGTTGTATACTTACATGTAAAAACATTCCACTCTACATGATACAGTAGTTTCCTTTAAAGAGATAATTTTGTGTTAGTGTATTGTGGTCTTATAGAGCCCTCTACAGACCAAACTTATGTGTTGATGGTTAGGTGCCACGCAGCTGCTTTTGTGCACTACAGCCTTTTCCTTTATCCGCTTTATACATATTATGCAAAAAGTGCTGTTATGTTGTTTGTCTCCACTAATAATGTCGACTTCACAGCTCACCACCAGCATGGAGCAGCAGGCCACCGAATCCAGTCATTGTGAGAGAAACACAACTGCAGGATTCAGCACTCAGGGTAAAGACAGTTAAGACTGCAGCGAACATTGCAGAGGATTGTCAAATGTCTACTAGAAGTCATGCTGATGATGCTTTTCCCCCTATTCTCAGCCTCGGTGGACAGTGCGTCCCTGTTGGTGTCAGAGGTGGCTGATCAGGACCAGACTTGCTCTTCAGAGGACCTGTGCTCCCTGGAGGTCCAGGGCTCTGACTCCTCTCCTTATGGCACGCGCCACACTGCTCCCATCGATGGAAGCTGCAACAGCCTGGAACTTTGCACACGTGACCATCGTGGCCGGCCTAACACTGACGCTCGCCCAAGTGATACAGGTTACAGTGAGTCCTCACACACACAGGATTCTCTGGAGCGCTCTCCGGACTGGTCCTCAGAAAACTTCAGCAACCTGGAGCAGGAGGATTCCACGGACAACAGACATCCATGTGGGGAACTCAGGCCTGCGATGCACATATGTGACGAGCTTGCATCAGCCAAACATTTACCAGAGGAGCCACCTAAAGCGTCAACACACTCCCTCATTAAAGCACGGATGATGAGCCGGAAACTCACGCTCCCTGTTACTATCCCCCCTCCACCTCAGCCGTGCTCCCCCACCTCCGTGGCTTCCTCTGGTGGAACTTCCGGCATCAGTCCTATGGCTCCTTCTCCTTCCCCTTCCCCTCCTAGCAGGCCACGCGGCCCCAGGCTGTGTTTCAGTGTTTGGTCACCTTCCTCCGCATCGCAGCAACCCCCCTCTACCTCAACCCAAAGTGGCTACTCACCGTCAGAGAGGCCTCGAGTGCTCCGAGCAGCCAGGAGATACCGCAAACTGGCCCGCATAGTCCGTTCTACCAGTGACCCTATCTCCTGCACCTCTACGACAGGAAGTGAGTGCAACATTGTTACACAAGACAACAGCTTAAATATTCCATCTATATATTACAAGAGAGATCAGCCTTTTAGAGCTTAATTGATTAAAACTAAGCCATCATTTCTGAGTCATTTTTCATGTTTCAAACAGTCTCTAGTTATAGATTCTCCAATGTGAGCATTTGCTACTTTTTCTGTTTAATGTAATTGTAAACTGATCATTGCTGGGCTTTTGGCTGTTGAGCGGACAAAAGAAGACATTTAAAGAAATCCCCTTGGACTCTGAGAGAGAGAGATTGTATATGCTAAACAACAAATTGATTAAACAAGAAAATAATCAGCAGATTCATTGATATTTAGTCTAACCGTTAGAGCCAGCCCTGCAGCCTTTCATTGTCAATAAGCAATGAACAGCTCGTGCTTGCTTTGTTGTGCCCAAACTAAGTTTCTTGTCTCCCTCTACAGGAGAAAATTGTGGCTGCGCCTCTGCAAATACCCCTGCTGCTGAAGATTCACATCATACATCACCAGAGCAAGGTACCATTATAAACTATTTTTTTAATACTTTATTTTCTAAAGAAGCACTGAAATACAACAAATTATAGTACTCATACAAGCATTATACTGATGGAAATACGTGCCAGTTCATAATGGATTGGTAATCATCTCATGAGGTCACAAACACAATCCATTTTTCCCAGCATTGCAGGAATTCATCAACCCAAAGATTTAGCGCATTCACATCCATCCCTACAATTAGACCTGAAGGGCAAACTGGCAGCGTGGAGAACTAATTTAACAAACCTTATTGAAACAAATGTTAGTTTTCGTCTCTGTCCGGGGAAAACCATGTAGTATAATTGGTTATGTTTCATTTTTAGATAACCTGAAGGATTAAATATTCATTAAATAAAACATTTTAAACCCCATTGGTCCCATTGGATTATCTAAAACATGCATTATCACAATTAAGTTGGAAACTTAAGTTGACTTAGAAAACTGATTTCACTTTACCCAAAGCCTTAAATCCACAGGTATTAACCTTGATTTTTCTATATGATGTCACGTGTTTTTCTTCTCTGTTCAGAGCCAACAGACGTTACGTCGGGAGTAGTTGGATCCAAACCCAGTCACATAAGTGTCAGGAAGCAGCAAAAGGAGGGCAGGAAAGTTGACATCCACCTTAAATCCCGGGCCCTGCACACACACTCCTCCCACGAACGCCCACACTCCCTGGCTGACTTTAAGATGTACAAAGACACCAAAGTACTGGTGGCCAAGTTCCTGGAGCATTCAAGCTGCAGTCTACCTCCTGAAGTCCAGCAGGTTGTCAACAACATCAAGTGTGTCATCAAGTTGGATGAGAAACACATGGAGGAGGCCATTTTTAGTGCCAATGTCATAGATCAGGTAACTGAATTAGACTAAATGTATAATGTCCAATGCAAAACCAGCAGTTTGTAGGCCTGTTTCCGAAGACGATAAGTAGATATCAGGCTAGCAGCCCAGTGAGGCAGTAATGCTCACTACACACCAGAAAACAGAAAAACGTGAGATGGATGAAAATGGATGGTTCAATCATACCATGTTTATGTAAAAACAAACAAAACAATAAGATAACAAACAGCAACGTGTGTCTCTCGTTTATGTTTTGTTGCACAGGTGATGACCCAGCGAGTCATTGGCAGTCCCAGGAAGCGTGGCCACGAGGACCTTCACCTTCAGAGCTGCGGTGCTTTGAGTTCCCCTTCCATGCGCTGTCCAAAACACCTCCCACAAACAACCAGCACCTCCACCAACCCACTGGACTCCCCTTCTTCTGAACAAAGCCTTGAGTGCAAAGAAACGATTCTCTGACCACTCTCCCAACAAGGACCCGAGTCAAAACTCTGAGGGCATTTCAGGATGCTGGTGTTGCAGCCCCCCATGTGCTGTGCAGCAGATGTCTGTAGAGTTATGAATAACTCCTCCAGCATTAAAGGATCATTTATTCTCAAAGTGTGACTGCAGCACAGGCAAACTGAAATGGTCTCTTACTGTATCTCCTAGTGCCCTGTGAGACCGTGCCAAGTCATCAGCAGAAATGGTAGCAAACTCAGACTGAGCCTGCCAGTGTCTGTAGTGGCTTGTTTCTCATCAGAAAAACAAAAGAATGTTTCTCCCCCAGGGGATCTTTTCTACTGAGTATCATCTCTTAAAAAAGAAACAAACAGCTGGTAAGTTTGGATTTGTGACTCAAAGGCAAAGGAGATTGTGTGATCAGTGTTCCTAAGAAATATGTTTGTATTAAACTGTGAACTGAACGGACTGGGCGTTACAAGCCATTGTCTGCAGACTTTGTGGAATTGTTACTGATAGGGTGGTGAATATTTTGTGGCTTCGCTGGTTCAAGAACATCACAGATGTGGATTATTTAACTTACCTCATTGTGTTACAATTCTTATCAGTGTTACAATAAAACATGAGTTTGTATCTTGTGGTTTGTGTTCTTACTTCAGTGAATGTTTTGGGATCATGTATGTCAGCTGTATGTGTTAGCATTTTGAACATCTAGTCACATTGAATAGGACTGGCCAAAATAATAGAAACATAGGAAAATACAATAGCCTTTCCATAAAGTTGGTGAATCTATAATGTGTTTTTTTAAGAGAGCGGTGTTATTATTAAATGGAAGCTGTGACAGCATGTGACTGATATTGTCGTCGTCGTCCCCCCCCCCCCCAGTGAGTCTGTGTGTGTCTGTTTATGTCTATGGACATATTTTGTCAATGCAATAGCAAGATGCAGTCATTAAACTTTACAGGTGTGTGAACAAAATGATGGCTGAGTTTGAAGATGGGTGTAGCCTGAGCAAGGGTGCAGAAAGTAGGGGGGTTGGAAGTGGAGAAGGATGTGATTCCATCACAAGATGGTCTCCAGCTACTTATTATCAACAAAAAAAAAATCGGAAGTAATCTGAAAGTAAATTACATAATATTGCATGAAGACGGTTAGGTTTAGATTTAGATTACAAGCCCCAAAAATGTATTTTCCATTAAACTGACACCATTTTATTTTTTGCTACACAAAGAGAAAACAAATTGTATCTTAATTTGATAACAAGAGACAAGTGTTTGAGTTTACACACTTCGCTGATAAGGGTATAACCTGTTAATGAGAAGTAAGGCTCCAGGTTTTAATGGGCTCAATATATTTATTTGAAATACTGTCGAAGCAATGCATTTGCTTTTGATTTGAAGACCAACACACAACACTTGCTTAAATTAAGATTTTTTTCCCTGACGTCATTATGACTGTAAAGTGTTCTTCAACTCAGCGATGTGCTTCCGGTCTTCAGGCACTACTCGCGATGTCCAAGTCGTCGTGGTTTCTTCTTATACACCGTCTATGGTTTTCATACAGGACTATCACTTTCACAGTGTGGCCGATGATTGTCATTCATCTTTTAAGGCATATGTGTAAACCTTAAGCCTACGGCGTACAAACGTGTTTATATAAGTTAAAAACAATGCCATCAAGTAATTAATGCCACGCTTTTCTTTGTGCTCAATCTTGACCTTTATTTTGAAATGTGGGTATCCTTTTTAGCAGAGAGCGGAAGTCGCTCAGGCGGAATACAGCCAGCTTCACACAGCATATAAATCAGGTTTAGCAGACAGCGAAAGGAAGAGATTGTGATAGAAAGCCTGTGTCCGTGTGCTGATTTGTTAGCATTTGGTTGTTGATATTAAAAGGATTACACCCGCAAGAAGAGACGATACTTCTCTGTCTGACAGTCGTTAATTGTGTTGTCGCATCTGCCGTTGTTGCTAGCTAGTGTGAAGTCGTTAGCTGGACAGCGTTAACGTCAATAGGAGCTAACAACGTGAGGTCGGAAGATACAATCATCAGTGGTCGATTCTGCTATTAAAGGAGCTCCAGCCGTCTGTGTACGGTGTCCTACTGGTCTTATCAGGGCCCATAGGAAACAAGTAGCCGAAGCCTGGCGTTATATAGCTCGCTGTATGATTTGTGTTTGCACTCCTCTCTGCCACGGTGCCGTGTAGCTGTCCACGTCTAGTCTCGTCTAACGTTGCCAGCTGAGCTAGGCCACGTCCCCGCGGGCGGATATCATCTACTGACGTTGGTACGAATCGCAGAGAAGATGCACAGTGTGCGGAAGGAGGAAGGAGATTAAGGACCAGGAGCAATGTGAAAAGTCATGACCGCTCACGACTGTCCTGTCTGTGTAGTGTTTGCTGACTGTTTTTTCCCGAGCGGTTGCCGCATATCCACGGCATGTCACGTAGGCTGATGTGTTTTACAGCGGGAGACTACTCTCATTGACGTATTGTAGGTTACGGTAACAACCTGAAGCAAACGTCACACTTTTTTTTTTTTTTTTGGTTTTGAAATGGTTGGGTTTGGTGCAAACCGACGGGGAGGCCGCCTCCCATCCTTCATCCTCATCTTCTTGATGTTGATCATCGCCATACTGTCTTTCAACTACTGGACTGTGACCAACAAGCACAGCCGCTTGCTGGACGAGCTGGCGGAGGTACAGACGCAGGTGAAGCGCACGGACGCGGCGCGCAGCCGGCTGGAGAAGCGGAACTCTGAGCTGATGGTGCAGGTGGACACGCACAAGAAGCACATCGACCAGAAGGAGGGAGACTACACTATGCTGGAGAACAAGCTGCAGGCCCGGGAGTCTATCATCAAAAAGTGCACTGATGAAAAGGTAGAGTAGCAATGTCTGGTCCCAACCCCGCTTTTATTTCACCGGTACTGTTTTAACTGAAAGCTAACAAGAGGAGGGTTGATCAGAGGGTCCACGTTGTGCTACACGCAGAAACAGGTGACCAACGTTTCCACAGCGTGGGGGAAAAGCCCTCTGAGTTAACCACCCTCAGGTAAAGCTATAGGTGTCAGTGTCACAGTGGGTTTTTGTCTCAGTACCTCCGTTTTTAATTCTTTGTCTATCATCGTCATTACTGTTAATGCTCTCTTACAATATGTACTCTATAGGTGTGGTTGATCTCTGAGAGAGCAAATAGTGATGGGGATATGAAAACAAAGCAGGTTCATTGTTCAGTCAGGAAACTTTACTTGACTGTTATGCAACAAGGAAAAGGTAATATTTCCATCACATCTCATCACAATATCTACGTTATATTGCTATGATCTCCCCACTCTATATCCAATGCAGCATGTACAACTTGGGTACCCCATGATGGAGGGAGGTCATCTTTATGTACTTTGAAGAGGCTAGGTGGTGGAGTCCTTATGGAGATGGCGATGGAGTAGTCGCCTGGTACCAAGTGGCAGAAAGATATATCAACTTGTCCTTGACTGGGAAACTCTTTCCTCCTCCTCAGAACCTGAGATCTGCTTCACCAACATCGTATTTTTATTTCGTCTTTTAGAAAATTGCAGCTCTCTTAAGTGTGTTATCAATTCCTTTTGGGTCTATTTAAGGGGGGAAAACATGTAATGTTGTTTCACCGTGCCCATGCCTCTAAGCCACCTATAATACATTTAAGTGTGGCACGTCTGTGTGCTCCACAAGGCATTTCCCACCTCTTGTACTGCGCAGTAGCCCAGCCACTGTGTCTTCAGTCCCAGCACCCTCTGAACATCAGTGTGTGTGTCCAGCTGCCCTGGGAGACAATTGGACAACAGATGGAGAGGGAGGTTTTCCTGTCATTTGCTTTCAGTCTGACATGCTTATTTCTCATAGACAGGCATACATTTGTTGAACTTATCCTATGTGTGGTGTCATAGTCTTACTTTGGGACCAGGGAGATGATGCTGCTTATAATGGGCCACACATATACACACACACACATACATGCATACAATGCTATACTTGACACTGTTACACTATTTGTGTAAGAGATTTTAAAAAAAAAAATGTAGCTGGGAGGTTCAGTTTTTTTCTTGTTGTTGAGGCGAGTATAGATGGTGACGTGTGGAATAAAGAGAAGTCTAAGCTCCCTAGTTTCTTATAGTACCTCCGGTATCCTGCTCCCTGTGTACATAACCTAGATAAGGGAAGGTGTTAAACAGCAGTTCTGCCACTCCTTTTTTTTTGTCCACAGCCTAACCCTGTTCCAACAGATGCAGGCTACATACACTGAGAGGTCTGCAATGCAGAGAAAACGGACAGTTGAGTCTTGTATGGCTTCCACACAGTACAGTATACACAGTTGTGTACAGCTTATAGTATACAGTCAACAGTCTGGTCGTGTTGTCTATACAGCCAGTGCCAGCAGGCTTCACGGGGAAGCTATAAACCCACATGTGAGGAAGTGACAGGATGAGGCTGTAGACCTTACAACAGTTGACATTGATGCTGTATTTCCTGTCCACTCTTTCCTCGCTGTCTTCTGTCTCAGTCAGTTAAAACTCATTCAAAAACTCAGACAATCACAACGGACTCCGAAGGTGACAAGCTTTTTGGAATTGGGGGCCAAAAGCGTAGTCTCTCATACTCCTCCTGCGGCACAATTGGCTTGACTTGTTTTGCCAAAATATGGTTAAAAGCGCTTTCTTTTCTATTTCCTCGCTCGCTCTGCCAGTAATTGGGTCTTCATCTGGAGGACAAAACCAGTTTTTGGGCATCGCTTTAAATTCCAAGGTCCACGTTTCCCTCCCCTCTGCCTCCCTTCTTAGCTTGCTTGCTCTCTCCCTTCAGTGTCACACCAGTACTGTTTATTTACCGAGCTGTTCTATTGGATTGCATTACAGTATGCTGAGGTTTCTATTTTCCTGGTCTTTCAGTGTAAGTTGAGTGCCTGAGAGAAATATCAAAAACCAGTTCTGTTTGAGCTACCAACTTCTGTGCTGGTATTTACAAAGGCAGTTGTTGTGAGATACTTGAATACCCTGTCTTCTAATTAGAGAACCTGTTGCACAATTTAGTCATCTGTGGCTTAGCAGGGAAGCTGTTAGTAAGGCTGTGAAAGAGGTAAATGTATTTAGCTCTCCGTGAGATACTGAGATTCTTAAACCGGTTTTCTCTCTAACCCGTACAGATGAAGGTGCAGGGTGACATCGCAGCCCAAATGACGGAACTCCATAGGCTGAAAGGTAGGATTTTTAGCCCCGTCTGCCCAGTAGAGGGCACTCTCCAACCAGAAGCCCTCAATGGAGGATTTGTAATGAAACATGTTTCACTCACTGGCAGACAAGGACTAAACCTCTAAAATGTTGTGTGTTTGTGTTGCTGTTAACAGAGCAGCTAAAGGAGCTGAAGCAGGAGTTCATGAAACAGGAAGATCAGCTAAGAGAAGTGAAGAAAAACAGCACTACCTTGGAAAGAAAACTGGAGTATGAGAGGTAGGTTCAATCTTAGTATTGTCCTTTGGGTTTCACCCACTTAGAAGATATGTGACATGATGTCTGAAACATTTCTCAAAATATGAATGTGTGCTTCTCAAATAATCAGTTATGACTTTTAGATTTATTTTTTATGGAATATTCACAATAATTCTATGAATCGGTCTTGTGATTTGGTGAAAATATCCCAGAGGATATGGATGAAACCTACGGGGCATATGTGTTGCTTAGTTTACAGTGTGGCCGTCAGATTGCACAGCTGAAGGAAGAGTATGAAGACACAAAAAAGACCCTGGAGGAAGAAGCATCAAAGCTAAGAGAGGTTAGTATTGATACGATCTCCACAAATGTACTGACAATAGCGTTGAAGCCCCTCTATTCAGTAAACAGTTTCTTCTTCTCTCCATTTTCCATATGCTCCTTTTTCTGATTCATCTTTTTAATTCTTCAGAGTGTAATGGACGGCCAAAAGGGTGCAGTGGCGGGTAGACATGCAGAGGCAGCCCCCGGGGAGGAGATAGTTGGAGAGCGCCATACAGTGGCCACTCACGGGCAAGACAGTCCAGATTTAAAAGGTACGGTGGATGTGAACGCATCATCCAGATCCTTTATATTGCCATGCACTTACACGCTAAATGTAGTACGTGATTGCTGTAAGAATTGAGTTTATATCATAATTACACTGTTAGTTTCCTGTGTATGTTATTACTGTCCATGCAACTGTGATCGATCTGTTTTAAAGTCAACCTATCCACTAACTAAGTCTCATTCCTTTTGCTCTGTTGCAGAAGAGATGGGTAAGCCTGGCAGTGATGCTGGCATGCCTGGAATTGAAGACAGTGAGGTGGGGAAAATTGACGATGTTCAATTTGGTAAGCAGTGGTCCAAACCTTTTTAAGAGTAATTGTTAGGCTGGCGCACCCAGTGATGTAATGAGTGGTGGAAATGATGTAGAGGGTACATGCATTTAGCATGACATTTTTAAAGCAGTGTGGGTAGAAGCGAGGTCAAGTAAAACAATAATAAAGATGTGGAGATTGATTTAGGTTTTAAATTTGAACTCATTTGCTGCCTTATGATTTAGAATCTGTGACTTGTCGAGGGGACTACAAACAACCAAGAGTTAGAGAATTAAACTCACCCTGGACAAACACACCAGCAAATGAATCCTTGAAGTTTACCGGTTAAAAACTTTGGAAATTAAACCAAAACTGGGTCCCCTCCAAATATCTTCCGTATTTCTGTCCTTGTGGCGAGTAAAACACAAACATTCGAGTCGTCTTACTCTCCGAGCTTTCTCACTTAATTTATCCACAGCCTTGAAGAAACCAGCCATAACTCAGAAGCACGATGAAGCCCCTGATGTGGTTGTCGGAGCTGGTGCTGGTCCTGGAGTCGGCGCAGCCGATGGCCCCGGGGGCCAAGGCCTGTCCCTGGACCAGCCCGGGCTCCAGCAGGACAGAGTGGAGGGCCGAGCAGCGGTGGTCGCACCTCTGGGCGTCATCAAACAGGCAGACAAACCCATAGTGTTTGAAGAAGACAACAAGGCAGGTATCAAGGCAGACGAAGTGGGAGAACAGCAAAGACAACTTCAAGGTACAGAATGCACCACATTCTTATTATGGGTCTTCATTATAATAGCCTGTCCTTTGAGTCTTTAGGCATGTGTTTATTTCACTCAATGTTTAGTCAAGTGAAGGCAGGAGCAGAGAACTGTTATCTCGGTATCGTAGGTTTAGCACGCTGTGCTTTATGAATAAGAGGTTATAAAAAAGCATTCATTTGCCCTTGATTGGAAGGTGGTTTGCAGGAGATCATCCGCACAACAGAACCTAACCTCTTTCTTATTGTCAGCTCCTGATAATGTCAAGGGTGACCGTGACCACTTGAAGGTGATTCCTCTGCCCCCCAACCCTGCCCAGGTGCCCAACCCCCTCCAGCCTCACCACGCCCAAGACCAAGCTCCAGCAGAGCCAGTTCACCACCGCCAAAGTGAGTTCCTCCTCAACACTTTGAAAAGAGTGAATACTGTCATTTGCAAGGGGGGTTGTGGTTGGAGTTTTTTTTTTTTTTTTTTTTTTTTTTTTTTTTTTCCTTGCTTTTGAAGGGGTGGGAAAAATGTCATTGCACATGAAAAAGTACAATCACAGCACATTCTTATGAGCTCTCCCTTTGTGCTTAGCTGCTGCCTCCCAGCTCTCTGTGATATGTGTCAATGCGGAGACTGAAATACAATTTCGGTTCATGCCATCTGTGTGAATATTGCCCATTACTAACCGGTTACACCCCCACTCCTGCAACACACATTTTCATGAAAGTTAGTGAAAGCTATGTCTGAACATGGCTAGGAGCACCGTCAGGGAGGAGAGAGAGGGCTCAGTTGCAGAGGAGAGGAGACCAATGACACACACCTGGCTCCCAGATGATCCTTTCCTGCTACCTAGCTTCTGCTCTGCTGCCTTTTCTCCCTCCTCCTCCTCTGTTTTCATATTTTCTATTTGTTCATCTCCTTTACACGTCCACCCTGCAGCTCTGCTGCTGAAAACACTAACTGCATTCAGTTCACGTTTTCATTTTGTTTTTCTTTGTATCTTCTGCCTCTGATTTAATTACACGTGCATCCAATTATGCCAAATTAACACCCGACACCCACCAGATGTCTCATTTTTGGCAGCGTTGGGTGCTCACTAGACACTGGCTCAGAAAATCTCGAGTCCTACCCAACAGTAATGTCTGAAATCAGATGGGAACATAAACAGCCTTAGATGCCTGTGTGATTGAGAGTGGGCAATCATTATAGAATATAATTATAGAAAAATGGCATTTGAGTAAATGTTTATTTATACATTGTACTTATCTTATGATCACTTTTTCTTATTGGCAACTTTAGGAACCTCTGATGAAGTCATTTTAAATGGCAAAATATTGTAAATGATAAAGCTGGAAAATGCCATTGTTCCACAGTAACTTGCTCATATTCACAACATCCAGTAAAATACATCAACTTGCTTTTGTTCAACACTTATCAACTATTGGTTTATAGCACATAGAAAAATTGTGATCCGTTTTCAACAGTTAAAGTGGCCATACCAGACAGGAGACCTTAAGCTGCATTGAATCAATGTGTTTGTAATATTCTGTCCTACACACATTTGTTAATGGAGGTGGAAAACCTGTTGGTGTTAGAAACATTTGAAATGCAGTTCAATGGCCCACTTACTGTATCTGTGGCTTATAAAAGACCCTTGAGCTAAGTAAACACTCCTCACAGACACGGTACCAACATAAACAAAGCATAAGATAGGATCTACAGCAGAGCTATTGTTTTTGATTGATTGGATTGTAAGGAGGATTAAACCGGTAACTCAATTGGCGCTCTGTGCTCTCCAGACTTCAAACAATCCCTCACTACAGGAACCCCATTTGTTTCCACTTGGCTCTCTGCTTTCAAGTCCATGATTGACTCTCCTTCCCTCTTCAGAACCACTTGTCTTCTAATTACACTCTGCCACTGTGTATTCATTCACCTCATCATCCTTTGTCATCCTCTTCATACGATCACTTATTCCTTCTTGCATTCATTGTGCAGTATTCCTCCCATTCCTCCCTGTCTTCCTACAACTTGCCTCCGCTTCCCTCCCTTCCTGATGAGGCCCTTCTCTGCCTCCTGCAGGCCGGTTCTTTGATGAGAACGAGTCCCCAGTAGATCCGCAACACGGCTCTAAGCTAGCGGACTACAATGGGGATGATGGGAACGTGGGTGAGTATGAGGCCGACAAGCAGGCTGAGCTGGCCTACAATGAGGAAGAGGATGGTGATGGTGGGGAGGAAGACGTTCAAGGTGAGCCAGGCCGGGGGACTGGACTGCCTGTTGTGTATCAGATGTGTATCCACCATTCCTCCCTTGCTCCCTCCCTCCTTCCACCCCTGTCCTGCTGCCGCGCTCCTGCATTTGTCTCGACAGTTAGAGGAGCTCACAGTACCCTGAGTTTGGTCCTTGAATCCATCATAAACCAGAGATGATTAAGAACTATGACCGAAACACCTTCAGGGTCCAAGCAGGACTGCTTTTTATGCAGTTACGGCATTGTTTGCTGTGTAGGAACAGTAACAATCTTAGCACCCTATTTTCCTATGTATGGGGAAAACTTACGGTTCTGTGAGAGTAAGTGTCCATCTAGTATTTTCTCTCCTGCCTGTGCTTCCTTTTAGCTATACCACCTGTCTGTGCCCACCAAACATCTGACCCACATCTCGACCGGTAGATAAATATAGCTCACTGTGTTTGTGAATGTGTCTGTGTTCTCCTTGAAATCTTGAAATACATGTCCATGTTTTTATTACTTCCTATTGTTTTCTTCCATACATTTTTCTGATTGCCTATTAGATTAGAATTTTAATGTGATAAGAGTGTAACAGTACTACATTTGGAGAGTACTATTTGTGTTTCTGTTATATGGCTGTGACTTGTCATTGGTATCTGTTATATCTGTGTTAAACTGTTCAGTTTGTATACAGTCTGGTTTCAATAAAAATCTAGGATGTTCTTATTTTAATGACCGACACGGAAGCTCATAATATGCTGGATAAATGTAGGAAGCATTCCTCCCAAAAGTACATGTATCCTTCTAATACATTTCTTCTAGATTAATACATTGTTACAAAATCAGGAGGCCTGTGTACAAAAGAGGACGGTGAGTCCTACATTGGTCTCTCAGGATGGACCTTACCCATCACCTCAAACACCGTTCAGCACTTAAACCTGAAGTCAATGTTTCGTTTCAAATCCAGTGTGCTGAAGTATGTCACTAAATCCTGATATTTCCTGACTGCCATGTAGGTTTCTTTATGGATGCACTGAAACCGTTTGGAATCAAGCTTTTGATGTGATTGGACTGATGGGGAGGACATGTAACTTTATATCCAAATATAAGTGTTTGTATCTGATAATGGTTATAGCACTTCACTAAGTATATTATTAAATGTCTAATGGTTGTGTTGCTTTCTTTTTTTCCAGATGATGATGATCGAGACATGCAGGGAGACCGAGCTGTGGATTATGGAAAAAGACATCAACCCATTGACATTCTTTGAATGGGAACTTGTACAGCTGTAACTAATTACAAATATTGAGACCTTCTACAACCAAGGTCTTTTCTTGAGAAAATAGTTTGAACATCAATATGTTTAAGAATTTATAGGGTTCATCCTCAATGTCGCGGACTATTTTGAAAAACAGACATTGCAACTAATGAATTAATTCTGAATAACGTACCATAATACAAAGGAAAACAATCATGGCATTGTCCTGAGCTGCTGTTGATTTGCTAATGGTTCTAGGTTGAGGCAGTAGATATGATGCGATATACACCGACTGTTGAGTTTTGTTCTTTGATAACTGCCTCAGTCTACAACGGAGAGATCCGAGGAGCCCTGTTGATTCGCAGCTGAACTTTAAGGTCGAACTGGGGGGTTTTTTTCCGGGGTTTTTTTTTTTTGTTGCGATTTTTCTTCACAGGTTGCTGTTGCGTGATATAAACAAAACTCTTCACCTGAGATGTTTATCAAAGAGACTAATCCAGCATTCTGCCTTTCTAACATCATTTTGGGACTTTTGACGTGGAAGACCATTTTTTCGTTTACAGGAGTGGGAATGCATTGCAAATGCCAAGGACCTTTCTTCTGGCCTATTAAATCAATTTCTTTTCTTTGTGACAGACACTTGAAAGTGCTCCTCGTTCTGTTTTCTTTCTATGATGCCATTGCATGCATTTGAAACTTTTTAGTAATCAACTGAGTAAAATACCGATGCTTAAGCAATACTTAGAGCGATGTTAGTATCCTCCAGTGTGAAACGATTAACCAAGCACACACAGAACTGACGTACTGTACACATGCTTCCAGTAATGAGGTCCCTCAAATAATGTAGATTAACAGTTACCATTTGTACAGAGGAAAACCTAATTCCTCAACTTGTAGGGAAATCTGTGAACATGGAATCAGTTCCGTTTGTGCAGCCAGGAAAATTGGTTTCTCATGGAAAGGCACATTGAATGTAATTTAATTTTATTAAAGGTGATGCTTCATGTCTTTTGTCAAGTGTGATGGTGCTTCAGAGTCAATGTAGTTGTCACTCAGGTGATACAGCTTTTAATGTTGGTTGGCTGTTATTTTATGGTAAAGTCGATCGGGTGTTTGGCATGTGCTTCTCTTTACAGTGATTATAAAACATGTTGAGGATATTCAGTCAGAAATGCGTGAATACCCGATTGATTGTTAACCTTTTGAGCTCATTTACCGCCACATAAACGGGTCTTCTGTCTTAATCATAAGATAGGAAAAGGGCACGTGGTGGGTAGTGTTCGCTGCAGACTGCCTGGTGTTGATCAGAGGTAAGGGGGTGTGTGTCTGTGTCACATCCGGGTTTCTGCCTTCAAGAGCCTGAGCAGAGGCGGGAAATGGCGCCTGGCAACACAACGATGAGTTGTTTCGGAGACGGCCCTTGAGCAGCGACACAGAAAAAGTCGGATCAGAACACGAAAACAAGCACTGCCGGTCAGGTGTGATGGTGAATCTGTATTGAGTCGTTATCGCCAGACACTGCGGATCGCTGTAAAGTAAGTCGGTTACGTTAACCAACCTTGTTCGTTAATTTGTCTCCTTTGACGTGCGGTTTTTGTAATATTGGCTAACGACAGGATATATATTTGCCTTCTGACTGTGTACATATGTTTGCCCGAAACAGTGTTTCAAGAAGGCTAAGTAGAGTTGACGCTAAGCTAACGCTAAGCTAAGTTATCGTACATAGCTCTCGCAAAGCTAAAATGCGGCCTCCAACGGACCTGGCTAATTACTGGTAAACTCGACAACGTAGTTCATTTGACTCCCTCCATTGTAACTATGCAATTCAATAAATACCCACAGGAGTATTCCTCATATTACGTGTACAATTGTACATCTTGTTGAAACAATGAAGCCTTGACTTAGTGTTAACGACCGTCAGGGTTAGTTAGCTTCCATTGAGGCTAACGTCGTTCACATTGACATTCCACAACTGAACTAACGGTAGGATTACTTTAGCTACCATTAGCTTACACTGTCTTTTCCATTTTAATATCCTTTTAAAGTGTGTTGAGATAGACTCCTCCGTGTAACTTTATCTGAAGATTGAAGTCTCATCAACTGAATTGTTTGCTAAAGATAGCGTCGACGTGATTAACGGATAACTTCGATAACGTTACCATGTTAGCTAGCGTCACGTTAGCTGTTTTGATTAACGATGCTAACGCCTTGTCGAAATGCTAACGCCGAGTTGTATGTACAATGTAACGTTAATGTTGACATCAACTGTAGGCGCCACACGTTAAGTCTGACTATGTTAAAATAAACTTCACTTTCTACAAATGTATGTTGCACACCTTCACAACTCCGGAAACGTTTCACACGACCAGGTCAAAAACGTTTGGGTAACGTTAGCTGAACCGAGCTAGCTACTATATTAGCTGCGAAGCAGACCGTGATTATGTCCGTCTTTTAAACACGTTGATTTGGGTATGACTGAGAGGCAAGTGGAGCAAATGTGTCATCTGCATGTTCGTATGCTTAAGCCACTTCCCAAGCCAGTTAGCCAACCTTAGTTTCGGAGTAATTTGTGCAGAGGAGACGGACTGTCGAACAAGCGAGGCCCTTCTTGTTTCTCCGCTGAGTGTCCATGGCTAGAGTGTGCTAGCTCGCTCATACGGTCTCATGCATGTTCTTATTTCCCGCTCACTGGCTCGTACCTAGCTATGCGTGATCCTTGGTTACTGGGTGAGCTTCTAGAGAGGTGGATGTTTAGCAGCCCCGGCGTTGTTGCCATGCAGACTGGCGATATTTAATGAAACGGTACATATAACGGACACTTTATTATATTATTTTGATACAGGAAACATGTGTTGTACATATTAACATTTGCATACATCTGTCGGTTTTTACTCAAGGTTTCAGAGAACTGTTTAGAGATATTTATTGGCACAAAAGTACAAAAATGTACAGCATGAACTGTTGATGCCTCAGCTCCACTATGTTATGCGAGGGAAGTGTTATGAAACTATATGTTACTTACCAAATTCATACAAACATTGCATCAGAAAAGACGAGTCGTGGTCACAAGGCATCTACCATACTGATTTAAGACAACCTGTGGGGTATTTCTGCTCAAAAAAACATAATGCTGCAGCATTAAATATCTGTGTAGTTGAATTAGCAGCGCTGACTCATTCAACAGAAACAAACAAACATGAGGTTAGTCAACACACTTGCTTGAAGGCGTTTGTTCCTGCTATTTTTCCCATCCTGTATTTAGAAAACACAATTGGCATCATTGTGGTACTGTATTTTTTTCCCAAAGTAAAGATTTAGTAGGACAGTAGACAGAGTAGTTTATCAAGTTTTAACAGTCTAGTCTGTAAAATAGTACTGTGAGTGGTACTGAACTGCAGTAATATGATCTTGCCAGAGATGCTCTATACAGACACAAATAATTAATTTATGAAGGACAGTTTCAGTGCTGCAATGTCTCTGACCAAGTTGTGAATTGTTTTGATTGTTTAAGGGTTAAGTTATTTCAAAAATGACAAAGGCATCAGGAGAGATCCTCTCCATCAGTGGCTTAACAGAAGCCCTAAAGCCATTTTGTAAGCCAAAATATATTTTGTTTTATATATTACCAAAATATATTATATAAAGAGGTTGTTTGGTGGGCAGTGAACATAAAAAGGCAATTCCAAATAACAGGTGGATGTTTTAATGCAATGTTAAACAAAACATTTTACAATAAGCCATTTTAGCCGCAATGGGATGATTTTGCGTACTGTTGTACTCGCACGTTTTTCTGTCTGATGGATTAAAGCTCAGGGGTGCACTCTGGCTTAATCAGCATCTCAAAAGTACACATGCATTGTTTTGTATTTTCTAAAACTATCTCAGAGAATAATGAATTTTAATTGGATTATAATTTTCAACTTGAGTTGTTTTATAAAACGTCTCCTAGATAAATGTACTAGTGTAGCCAACTTTTTCTTTTTTTAATTGCGCGCCCTAATCAGTAAAATGTTGACTCTGAGGGTCTATGTTGGAAGCTATAACAACGGGGAGTGTATTCTTCTCAAACTAGTACATCGACATTAATGTAAATACAATTTCTGGCGTGTCCCATTTTTCCTGCCTCCCTGTTAATTTAACGTTACCATGTACTCTGAAGCTGTTAAAGCGCCTGTTGGTGTTTTTGTGCGTGCATGATTAGGCAACAGCACGTACACCTCTGGTGTGTTTATGGATACAGTACACCGCGGAGTAAATGTGAAACAGATGTGGTGAGGGACCTTTACAGTATGTCGAGATGGTGCTATTGTGTGCTTAGGGTTCCTGACAGGTTGTGGATATGTCCAGACACATTTTCAGCCAGCTGCTGTTACATAAGCGCAAAGGGCTTGCATGCCTGACTAACAGACAATTCATCCTCACTGTGAATAGTTTTAAAACTTTCCCTGTGCATACTCTGTGCAATTACATTCCTCCGCTTAAGGAATAAGGAAATACTTTCCTTCAGATGGCCCCAATCTGAGCTGAAACCAGATCGCATACGGTAAATTTAAAGTCGTTGTCCATGTTTACAGTTTTTCAATCACCGTATTTTGTTTGCATGACTTTGATCTTGTGTGTACGTAGCTAATAATAAGTGTCTAGTAAAATCCTGGGCAAAGGATGGAAGTAAAGCCAGCTGTGGCTGCCGTGATGCAAGTGAAATGGGATCTTGAATGCATCCAGATGTTAGCAGAAAAGGGCAGTTATTACCCCACTACAGATAAACACCCCACAGACTCATTGTTAACAGTCGAGACTGTTTGTCCACCTTTACACTTGAGTGTTTGTTTCCTTGACTGTACAGTCATATTGATTTCCTCTCTCTCTGTATCTGCCATATTTCCCTGTGTCTGAATTTTGTTTTTGTTTTTTCTGTGTAACAGTTTTACATGTGACTGCTAAAACAATGAGGCTGAGAATGCGTAAGGCGTCTCAGCAGCCAAACCCCAGTCTGGCAAGCCGCCCATCCCGTACCAAGCGGAAGCATTCAGAAGTAGAAGAGGACACGCCTACTACTGGAGGCAGGGGCTTGTTCTCCACCATCAAGAAGTTCATTAGAGGAAATGCAGTTAAGGTACCTCATTGATCAAATGATCCTGCTTTTTAATTGACTTCAATGTAAATATGAGTGTGGTGCTCCTTGGACCATTGTCATATTGTCTCCTCTTTAACAGTGCTACCTAAACTTTTTAGCACTTTTCTGTTTCAAAACTGTATTTAGCACTGTGCTCTCCAGGTAGCTGAGTTAAATGCAGTGTTTCTTGGTGTAGAGTGTCGCGTTTCCTAAGAAATGTCGGAGGAATGCAGCAGCTTTTCTGAGAACTTGGACTCTGTTCTAATTTTAGCTTCTGGCTCCCAGAGTTTGTGTGCAGGAACAAGTGGAAAAGTCAACCCTGCTAAAAACATATTTTCCTTTAGAACGAGACGGGGGCTTTTTTTCGTATTTTTAAATGATGTCATTTCATGGTCCTCCCTGGACTATCGTTTCTTCATTAAGTCCTAATTTAAGCATATTGCCTCAGTTTGTTTTCTTGCCAGTCTTTATTTGTTTTGTAAATTCCTATAACAGTACAAAAATATTTTACGATTTGATTATTTATATCTCATGGCCTCTATACACGATAAATCAACTGTGATCTGGAAGGCTCATTGTGCATCACACCACGCAAGGTGGGTATAATACAAGATGTAAACAGGGAAAAGCACCCCTCGTGTTTTGAAAATGTAGAAACGGTCTGGCTATATAATTATTTTTGTACTTGATGGGAAATTCTATTATATAGTTGCATTTGCCAATGTGGTCTGCATCATTTCATGCTTCAGATTAGTTGTTTAGTAAGCGTAGGTCATAGCAGCAGTTACACCTGAGAATTTAGTCAGAAACAGACTTTGGTCACTGAATTTTCCAATCGGATATTAGTGGATGTGTCTCAGTGTGATCTAGGACCACCACTATTTTTAGATTGATGAGCAAAGTTCGGAGACTGTTTTATTTAATTACAACTATTCACTGCATAATTTCTTGTCTCCTTAAGGTGCAGCAGGAAAGCCCAGCCAAGAAAACACGCCTCCACTGTGATGTGGACAATAACCTCATCACCTCTACAGCCCCAAACACCAACAGCCCCCGCAGGACTATCAGCAGGGTTGGCCGGAGAGGCTCCCTGAATGGACGTGAGTTGCACTCAAACAAAACCACTAATGCCTAGTCTTTAGTTTCCACTTATCTCTGTCGGTTCTCTTAAACCTCACGTCACTTCTCCCATGCAGAGGCAACCAATCATGACAGAAGTAAGGAGAAGCCCAATGGTAGCCTGGAGGAGACGACATCTGTTGAGGTGCCCACGAGCCCTCCCAGAACCTCCCTTCTGGGGACCATCTTTTCCCCTGTTTTCAACTTCTTCTCACCAGCTAAAAATGGTATGCAGTCCTGAGGTTTGACTCATTGCACGCATCACGCTCAAACCTATAGTATGTATGTACTCGAATGTGTTTTTATCATAGTGTTGATGCATGTCTTTTGTAGGGTTGGTACTGGCTTGTTTCAGTCGATACCTTAAAGGTATTGAGTACCAATACCCAGCCCCGAGTTTTTTGTGTCAGTTATGTCCGGATAGTCTGCAGCTAAAATGCCTCTTTTGTGTTTGTTATTCAGACTCCCCAGACCAGTCCGTGGAGGCTGAGGAGATAGTCAAGCAGCTGGACATAGAGCAAGCTGTGGAGACGCCCACCAGCACAGCCGCATCCACGCAGGAACTGTGTGCCACCACTAACTTCTACTCGAGTGTATCACAGCTGCCACCTATGCGACCTCCTCACATCCCCGAGGTTTCTCCCACAGCAAGGGATGGAGAGCTCTGTGCTGATGCTGACCTTCCACCCCTCACAGGTAGATATCGCCGCTAAGAAAATGTGATTCTGAAACGTTGAGGTAATGATATTTGTTCCCATTTCTCATCTTGTTATTTTCTAACATGTTGTTCCTCTTGTTGTCCAAGCTCCAGGCTCCAGTCCAGATATGGCATATGTGGACTCTCCGCCTGCTACAGTACCAACAGAGGCAACCTATGAGGAAGACTGGGAAGTCTTTGACCCGTGAGTAAAACACTGCAATCATTAAATGCATAGTTTTATAGCCAGACTACATTGAACAGAATTTACAACACCACCTGAACGCTGGCATTTTCAAAGCAAGGGCAGTTGGGATCATTTAACCAAGCATTAGGGATAAGCAAGGGGTGGGACAAAAGTTCCACTCTGCAAATGGGAGCATTGTTTGTAGCATGGTGAGACTTTTGATTCAACCAGGTCAGAGCTGAAGTTAAGAAAAAATGTTGCAATAAAGCTAGCAGCATAACTGACAAAGTATTCCACTTTGGTTTGAATATTGTCGTTTGAATTTGTTCTACTTGCCTTAAAGTCTGTCTGATGTTTTGATTTGTAGATATTTCTTCATCAAGCACGTCCCTCCACTGACAGAAGAGCAGCTCACTCGTAAGCCGGCTTTGCCACTGAAAACACGCAGCACGCCTGAATTCTCTCTGGTCCTTGACCTGGTCAGTAATAGCATACAATAACAAATCATTTATTCCTTGATGTAAAAAAGAGTTTCCTAGTATTTTCTCTGTTGTGTTCATTAGGATGAAACATTGGTTCACTGCAGTTTAAATGAGCTAGAGGACGCAGCACTTACCTTTCCTGTCCTCTTTCAAGATGTCATTTACCAGGTACGTACTGTTGGAATGTGTCCCACTCCTTTGTTTCATGATGCCACTAGAGGGGGGGAAAGTATCATTTGTGAAAAGCCTTCCTTTAAGGAAGGTGTACTTGCAAAGACGGACAAGCGTGTCATACAGTGGGAGAACTGTCCAATTCAATAGACGAACTACAATGAACACTATTCTGATCAAACAAATGTTGTGTTGATCATGACGGTTTGCTTCTCTGTGTGTTGTCATGCAGGTGTATGTGCGCTTGAGGCCGTTCTTTAGAGAGTTCCTGGAACGCATGTCTCAAATCTATGAGGTAAATATAACCCGACGACTCCTCTTTTAATAAATCCTATCAATGAATGAGCTTTGAAACAAAAAATGAGCTTTATGTTTCTCCTTTCCTAGATCATCCTTTTTACAGCCTCTAAAAAGGTTTATGCAGACAAACTGCTCAACATCTTGGATCCTAAAAAGCAGCTAGTGAGGTACGATGTGTTTTTGTATTGGTCTGTTTATAATTAAACAACAAACTCAAAAGCTGATGGGAGCCTGAATAAAGAGCTCAGAAAGCTAAATGCTGTGCGGAACCGTCGGCACGTGCTGCTGTTGAGGTGTCAGTGTTGTGGTTTTTCTGAATTATTGATTGCTCTGACCATGTCACTGACTGAATTTTTTTTTTTTTTTTCTCTCCTCCCTCTTTCCTTTCATTGCCCACTGTAACTGTAGACACAGGTTGTTTCGTGAGCATTGTGTCTGTGTCCAAGGAAACTACATCAAGGACCTCAACATCCTGGGCAGAGACCTGTCAAAGACGATCATCATTGACAATTCACCGCAAGCCTTTGCATATCAGGTGAACACCGGGACAAAATATGACACTGGGGGTTTTCTGGTTCAAGCATCAGTAACTGTCATTGTAGTCAACCAAAGAGATTACAATGAATGTAAACATTTAATAACAGTCGTCTGATAAGTCATTGATGCAAACAATACGGAGCTTCTATACAAATGCAGCTCCACTTTTCCCGCAGCATGTTTTTATTTGTTCCCGACATTGGCATGTACTGCTCTGATTAATTACCGCCAAGCAAACGAAGGATGTGAAAAACACTGAAAAACTGCGTTTCTCATTTGATCAATATTGGCATGGTTTTGATCCCAACAGTTGTCCAATGGGATTCCCATAGAGAGCTGGTTCATGGACAGGAATGACAATGAGCTGCTGAAGCTGGTGCCCTTCCTGGAGAAGTTGGTTGAGATGGTAAGATGTCCTAATGTTCAATGACTACTGTCGGCCATATTATAACCGCTACATCAGAGTAGGGATGGGTGCCGAAACCCCTGAGTATTAATACAGTGCTACATTATTGAAGACCGGATTATTAAGAAGCTATAAACAATATTTATTTAATTATTTTCCAGTAAGGTATTGAGTTTAAATACTAACTTTTCTACTGTTTGTTGTATGTTGCTGCTCTAGAAACATTTAGTTATATTTAGAATATAATTCTAATCCTGTTCTAGTAATAAAGAACTGATAAGAGTATCGATACAGAAGCGAACCAGTGAGGAGTATCAATGAGAGTAGTATTGATGAAATACGGACAACACCCATCCCTACATCAGAGTAATATTTTACTATTTCAGTGAATCTAACTTGTTCTTTATTCCTCCCCCGGGTGATCTGGTCAGAACGAGGATGTGCGGCCACATGTTCGGGAGAGGTTCAGGCTTCACGACTTGTTGCCTCCCGATTGAACTGATTCAGTCTCAGAACGGGACGACATGAAAAGACTGAGAACATGTGTGTAAAAAGGCCCTCTTTGGATTACAAACTACAACATTGCCATTACTGTTCAAATTTTAGCCTTTTTTTATTTGTTTTTGTTTTTTAAACCCACTGTTGCTTTTCAAAAAAACTTGAAAAGTAAAACTTTTTTAAAAATCTGGGTGAAATTTTTTAAATGTTTCGATGAAATTACACATGCTATGAACAAGCCCAGGTGAATTTTTTTATTTTATTTTTTTTTGACTGACTCTCCCGCTGTGGAGCCGGATGTGTCCTCCATACTAAATTGGGAAGTCTTGGTGCTGGTTTAGTGGACATGAAAATGCAACCTGGTAAAGAGGAACTCCACCCCGACTGAGTCCCTAAACCCAAAACACCCCGTGGTGCTCGCGCTGTTGACACTGACGAATAACGAACTCTGTGGCTGCAGACCATTTTCAGCAGGAATGACTGGCCTGTAATCTGCATATGTGTGGGTGTGTGTGTGTACACACACACACACACACACACTGATTTGGTGTTTGACAAACCTACAATCTGTAGCCTTTAAAATCATATGCATTCCCCTGTAGCTGAGTCAAGTTTCTATTGTTGGTTGCAGTTTTTTTTCTGGTAAAACTGGTGTTATTGTTTAAAAAAAAAAAAAAAAAAGATAGCTTTTCAAAATGTTTTACTTCTGTTTGTAAGATATAATGTTTTAAAAGGATTCTTGTACGTTTTTATTGTAAGCCTTTTTCCTGTTAGGAGAACATGGGTGCATATTAATGACAGTCCACTGCATAGTCGAACACAATGTAATTGTACCAGGACTTAAAGTATAGTTTGTTCTCATTCTAACAAATAGAGGTTTAATTTGATGTGTTGGCATCACTGTGGACACAACATGGCTCCTTATTTAAATGTTAGGATTAAGACTCTCCTTACCTGTAAAGGTTTGAGGGCATTCATTTTCAAAGTGATTAGTCAACATTGCCCTTTCTTTCGTAATGGTATTTGATTTTTTTTGATTTTGTTTTTAATTTGTCTATAATCAGTATTGTCTTTAACTCCCAATCAAGTATTCGGGCTCTGTTTCTTTCGGTTGTAATTTGATGGCTATGTCAGTAGCATCATGACTAATGTAGCACATCTCTGCCGCTGTGTCATAAAGTCTGCCCATGGTAGACATCTATGGCCCGACCCTGTACCAGCCACATACTGTTGTATTGGTCAGCTTCACTGACTGCTCCTCTACCTGGTTTCATATTTTTTACTTTGTACTTTCTAAGCTTTTTGTTTTTTCTTATGTTTTAGTGCAGTTTAAATCAATGTGTTTAAGAATGGTAACTATATGAATGTGTTTCTGCCCGACATCAGCCTGGACATTCGACACTGGACAAACTGACATTTTACTGTTGTTTCAACTTAATTTATTTAATCGTGAGACAAACGGTAGGCGTAGATGTTTTGCCTAAACCTGGGACGGAAAGCTCAAATGCCTGACTATCTTCTGTCATCGCCCAAACCCTCAAGAGTTGACTTGAACCTATGACAATTTGGCATGCGTTGAACCTTCTTAAGTTTGAAGCAAAGTGCATTTTTTTGGGTTTTTTGTTGAAGCAAATGTGAGTGTTTGGATTTGTCTCAGTTGCCTGTACAGTGCCATGCGCTTCCCCACCTTATAACCCCCCCCCTGGTATTTCCTGTGCTCTCACCCTCCAAAATGCTTAGCTGGAAAGAGACAATCAGACCTCAAAGCTCTGCAGGTGGTGAACCCTGGAGACACACAGCTTTTCCCCCTGTGTGCTGTAAGTGTTGTGTACTGTGATGCCATTGAGTTGTACCCTCCTCCCCCATAATTACTTTGCCAGGTGAATCCTGCTGTACCTTGCCCAAACAATCCCTGCTGTTTACTTAACACAGGTTCTGCTCAGAGGTGGTTTTCCATCTGTTCAGCGTTCACCTGTTTGCCTTTTCGTTTCTTTTTTGTCACCTAAAGTTAGAAGCTCTCCAGAAATTGGAATTAGTTTGTATTAAAGTCAAATTGTTACAGGGCACAATGGTGATTGCTCAGACATAGTGTCATGAGTACACATGTCCAGACTATGAATGTAAATTCTACATGGGGTGAAGTCTTAAGTGTCTTTCCAGAGACCTTGTTTTGTTCTCTCCACACCAACGAACAAACGGATGATTGGTGGCAGCTTGTATCTGCTATTCAGCTGTTGAGACAAGAACAATGTGCGTGGAAGAGGAAACATGTCTTGAGGTCCCACCATGGTATGCCCCCCCCCCCACCCCCCCCCCCCCCCCCCCCCCCCCATGACCTCTCGCCGCCCTGACTGCCATCTCTCACGATGCAAGCCTCACTTGAGTGTGCGATGTAGCCCAGGTGTGCTCGTCCCCTCTGTGATGTGTAATTATAATTCAAGGCTTGTTGGTGGGAGGCGTTAGATACTTTTTAATCCAGCCCGTTTTTAATGTGCATTACCAGTTTATTGTACACTGAGCGTTGTACAATACATGCAGCTTCGTGTTAAAAAAATCCTTAAAGTAAGGAGAATCTTTTTGTATTTTTGATTTCAAAAGGCATGTCGTATCTACTTTTTAAATGTATTAATGAAGATTTAACTTTACATCAGATGGAGTGGTTGTTTTTCTTACAAATATCTGTATGTCTAGTTTAGCGCAATGTCACTGAACTGTTACACTTAGCATGTAGAGAGTACCGCTTGCTTTGTGGGAAAGTCCTGAATTAAATTTTAAACATGGCACTTTTTCTGCAGAAAAGAGCAATCGTGTTAATTTTTATTTATTTTTTTCCCCCAATATCCATAAAGCCATTTTACTTGCAAGAATTGCTATTTGTGCTTAAGATGTATTTAATGTTTTAAGACATCTTTGTTAGCCGCCAGGCTAATATGATACTGTAAAGTGTATATACAGTTACATTGAATTTCTGAAACAAAGTTTTAAAGTTAAAAACCTCTTGCATGCCCTTTGTTTTTATTTCCTGACACTTTGTGCGAGAAAAGAGGAATGTCTTATTGTAATGTTAAAGTTGCTCACATTCATGCTGAAGAGATGGAGCACTCCATCTATTGCCTGATCTTTGCTGAAAATAATGGGGACATACTCCCTCTTGGCTTGAGCAGCATCAAAATGTAGGCTCTTTTTATTGTAAAGTCCTAACTTAAGTATTATTTTCACCACGGTTTATACTGTGTCATTTTAACTGATAGTATTTTATAGTTGTCAAAATAACTTGTGGCTATAGGAGCCATTTCATTAAGATCCCTTCTCCTTCAGATGCTTGTGGAACAGCAGCCTGTTATGTTAACTGCAGACATCAACCTTTTCCTTCAATAATGATTGAGTTAACTTATTAAAATGAGAGTTGTAAGTGCACAATTCATGGGTTTTAGTTAAAAGGGTTCTCTATGGAGGAAGAAAACCGATAAGTTAATTCATCTATTCATTTTGAACTTGAAAGGGATGAAAACTTGAAGTTTCCAATAAAACTAAACAATCTAGGAACAATTTAAAATGGGTTGCTTTGACATAATCACTACATTTATTAAACAGATTAATCTATGCCATTTAAAGGGGTTATTGTTGGGGAATTTTCCACATGTTTTGTGTGTGTTGTAAGTAGTCCAGAGTGTTTGCAGCACATGTCTTGTAAATCCGCCAGCAGTCAGGCGGGTGACTTCTGACTCCTCTGACGGGACTCGGGTTTCAGGAGTTAATCAACACACACCATTAATAATTCAGCACCGATGGCCAGTCCTGTTGCCAAAATCCCTTCTGTGTTTCACAGCCCTCATTTCGCACCTACTTTTCCCCCATTTACTGGTGCTCTTAATTACGCTGCTGTCAGAGCAGGTGTAGAGTTGCAGGAAGAGACGGAGGTGGGGAGCCTGCAGCCGTTCAGAGCGGAGTGGCATGTAAGAGAGATCATCACCTCGGGCCTGCTGGGCAGAGACCAAGCTTGAAGGATGAGCGACAACTCATTGACCAACATGAAGCCTGTTCTTCTGCCTCAGCTGAATATCTCTACTACAGCAACGGGATAAAACAAAGTGGATTTATTGTTAATATCGAGTGCTTGCCTGCTTCCATTTGATTGAAGACACAATGTGGTCGACACCAGCTGCATGCATGGTGTGCATCATGTTTGGTAAGTACAAAATAAGATTTCAGAAAGCTTTCAGGTTGTATTGTCTATAAAACACTGAGATGGCAATATTTTTGGATCAGTTTTTGATAAGAAAAGCTAAATCATCAATTTAAAGTGTTAAAGATGTATTAACTTGATTATGAGAAAGAAGAGCTTGTTGTAGGACTTAAAAGTGCTTATAACTAAGTACACAAAGGTTTCAAACTGTAATGGTAAATACCTGGTTAGATAGAAGTTAAAGATCAGTGTCACAATTGTTGATATGTTGTGCAGTAGCATTTTCACAAAAATAGATAAACTTTAATGTAATTAATAAGTAAACATTTCTTTTTTTTCTTTTTTTTTTTTTTTGCTTTCTGACAACAGGAATCATATGTGATGTCAAGCAGGTGTATTCACAACCCAGTTCAGTACAAAGAAATTCTGACCAGACTACCGACGATGCCGTCAAATTAGATGAAGACATCCAGAAAGTTATAAATCAAATCCACTCGTTGTCCGGTGAAAATGGAAACAAGCGCAGCTTCGGCATCTCCTCCCCAGGAGACGGCTTTGACTTAAATGCATATTATGGTGTTTTGAGTAACGTATATGCTGTCTTTCAACCACTGATTAGAGAACAATTCATGGATGATCTTCCCAAAACATTAGTTTGTATTCTGTCTGGGAGACAGGACTGTGGACTGGAGGCAGAACTAACAAAGGCCGTGTCCCTGGAGTTGGGGAAGCCACTGCTGACATTTGTGTCGTCTCTGAGATCCCAGACATGCGCTCCACTGAACAGCGATGGAGAGTCGGACAGCTTCCTGAGGGCCTACTTTAGGATGGGGGACTCAACGTCGGCCGCACTGAACGGTTTTCAGCAAACATTTATAAATATTCTCTCAAGTCTCCCTCTTTCTGGAAGCTTGATGAGGGCTGTGAGTGGCGTTGTGGATACCGCTGTGACGTATGTCTTAAAGTTCATGGCAACAGTGCTCCAAACACCAATGGACTATATCAATATAGCTTTACAGTTTGGAATTAGAATACCATCTTTAGATGGGAAAGAGACCTGTGAGCAAGGTAAAGCATTATTGTTCATCAGTATAAATATTTGAGTATGCACTGTATGATACACTATTTTTTTTTCATGCTGCATTGTTTCCACTTGCTCTTCAGGAGATCTCAAGCAGCTCATTATGTGGTGAGTCATTCGTGAACATTTTGTTTTTCCATATTAAAGCTGCTGTTGACAACTTGTACTATTTTAAAGAGCATAGACTTATGCTTGGATCGAGATGAAACTCTCCCATTTGAATAATCAGTAAGAACATTTCAACAGGCTGCAGCTTAAATAAATTCACATCAGATTCACTTTTGCAAATATGGCACTGTGTCGTGCTCCGTCCTGAAATGCTAAAGTCTTCAAATTAGTTTCTATTGCAACTATTATCTGCAATAAGATAAGAAGCATCCACCAACAAACGTAGTGAAGAAGGAAACTACTAGCTGGCAATGTGTAAACAATATGATTTAGAATTTAAAAATCTGCTTTCTCATAAGGAAGGAAGGAAGTAGGGAAGACCTCAAGCATAAACAATGCATTTCTTTAGTGAGAGCAGCTCTCACTAAATCTGTAGGCATTTTAGTGAATGCTCTCTGTAACAATGATTACATTCCTGTTTTGTTTAGGGGAATAAACCACAATGTGAGCTGGTCCTTCGCTAACTCCATCACTGACATCCTCCTGGAAATCTTCCTGGCTCCAGCACCGACTCTGTGCACATACCCAGGTCCAGAGTGCCTGAATCCTCCCAGTGCCCCCTTCCAACGCAGCGTCTCAGAGGCAAAAGATGGCGCTGATAACACCCACGACATCCTGCTAAAATGTGATCGTCAAAACCTGGCCAGGCTCAATGACACGCTGTGTGCTGACATCCTCACGGGGTCAAGAGTGGGGTCCTCCACATCTGTGCTCACCTTTTGCCAGGCGTTAAGCTCCCTCAGCCCTATCCAGAGAGAGCAGGTGTGGAGCAACATGTGTTATGTTATTCAAACACTGGTGTCTCCACTCCTCAGCAGATCATCTGACTGCAGCGTTGGGGACACACAGCCTTACCCTGCCGTCACCTCTCCCTCTGAGACTCCTCCCCTCCCTGGTTCTGCACCTCATCGAGTAGTCAGAGAAGCCTCCAACCTCAAACTGCTCGCCTGTAACTACAACAGCTGGGCGGAGAACAAAGTGGTGGACGCTGTCCTCGTGTCACTGTGCAGCGATAACCAGCGTGAGGAGTTTGTGGAGCAGGTGTGTAACAATGCTTCGCTGATGAGAAAGCTGCTCTCAGATCAGATGAACACCTGGCTGTATGAATACTGTACCAACTCCTCTGCAGACCCTGGCTACATGGTGAGTCAGTTCTGCGTCTATGAGGAGTGGATCCACCAGCCCTCCGCCATGGTGGACCCCTCTTTACTGGAGTTCTGCATGAGCCTGGACCGTCCTAGATTGACGACACTCATGTGTGAGCACACCCTATTCTTCGTGCTTTTATTCTCCAACCCTGCAAATGGACGGTTCATGCCTAACTGCACAAACAGGCCCCCTCCACCACCATCATTTCCCAACGTGGATTCTTTAATATTAGATTCTTGTCGTTACTCAGAGTGGCACGATGTGATGCAAATTACCATTGACGTTTTGTCACAGTGCATCAGCCTCGATCACAATGGTTTTACTGAAGAGGTTTGCTCAAACAAAACTTTTCTAAACGGTCTGCTGCGTAATAAAGAAAATGCCTGGCTTGAGAGTCACTGCAACTCCTCTCTCGCCTTTCCACTCCCTGAGCCGACCGAGCCCTTCAACCTGGTGGGCTGGTGCGACTACCACACGTGGGGAGAGCGACGGGTGGACGATTCAGTGGTCGGCCTCTGCTGGCAACATGATCAGCTCGCTTTTCAGAAGAATGTCTGCTGCAAGAAGTCTGTGTTTGAAAAGCTGTTACAAAACCCACAGAACGAATGGCTGGGATCAGTCTGCCCAGACATAAAGGAAATATTGGTGTTACCGCAGGTGGGTGCTTTACCTGGATGACATGGGTCGTGTGTATCCAGAGCCTTCATCAACTTGCATGCACAAAAAAAGAATGACAAATGCTATTTTAAGTCCCATGTCATAGGAAAATTGCCCGCACACTGACTAAAAAGGTAGAAGAATGCT